ACAGTTACAATTGATGGTTCTGCATTTGAACAAATTCTGACTGAGAATTCCGATTGACATCTGCTATTGACAAGAATGCCAATCAACAGTTCTAATTAAAGTTCTGACTCTTGAACTCGTGCTCCTGTATTCAACAGAAATTTTGTTTGCCAACATTCTTCCGCTTTGTTTCTCAGAATATTTACTTGGTCTAAGTGAGCCCTGGACAGTTCCGCAGAAAGCTTTTCAACTAGGCCAAAACCAACAATCAGACAATTTTCATGACAATATGTATTAAGACCTGAAGTGAACATCGGAAAACACAAGGGCGCTTAATCTTATTCTACTGTGGCATTCTGAGCCACACGGGCCCCAGTTAGGGCCCGGTTCCAGATAGGCAGGGTAGGCCTAAGGGGGACGACGGTTCAGATGAGGCCCAGGTAGGCCAGGACCACGGCGGTTCAGACAGGCCAGGGGTAGAAGCCCAGGCCAACGGCCACAAGTCCAGTACCGGTCCAGCATAGGACCTACCGGCGGTGCAGTTTCAGACGCTGCCGCGTTTAGGCGCCAAGTCCAGTTTGAAGCTGGACCGTTGATCAGATCAACGGTCCAGGCCGGTAGGTACCAGCAGGTAGGAGGCCGGCCCAGCACTACAAAAGGCTGCGTATCAGCCTCAGTATGGAGGTTAGAAGTTAGTATGGACCGAGGGTTAGTCTTCAGGATTAGCGCAGCATTCAGCGTTAGTACGATTAGCACAGCGCTGCAGCATAGCGAGGAGCAGCGAGGAGAGCACGAGCTCAGCGGCGAGAGGATTAGCGCAGCATCGGGCGCAGCGCCAGTTACCAGCCCAGCCCCCCCCCCTTGCAGCGCCATAGCTACCGTGCCAGGTACCAGGGAGGATGGCCTCGCCTTCTCTCCCTCCTCTTCCTCTCTCTCTCTCTCTCTCTCTCTCTCTCTCTCTCTCTCTCTCCTCCTACCTTCTCAGTCTAAGTCTACTTCTGGGTTCTCCTATGGGACTACTATAAGTATGAAAGAGGGTTACGAATTCTGATAATATTGGAGACAGCGACATTGGGACTATAGGTTGAGGACTACTTGTTGGATCTGATTGCATCTGCCTCTGGAGATGACCTTGACATTGTGAGAACGATATCTGAGACATTGTGGGACACTGTATTCGCGACATTTTGGACTTTCGCCATCTCTGACATTTCAAGATACTATCTTTGGAAACATTGAGTTGACATCATCTTCCCTCTCCTCCTCCCTTCGTCTCTCTCCTCCCTCCATTTGTCCGTGGATGATCTCAGACCCTGGCCTTTCGTCTATGTCCAAGGCCAGGGCTTTTACACCCCTGATGAATGATTGAGAGTGTTCGATTGCAGTCCGAGTCAGGTCAGAGTCAGTGCATGTATCTCAAGTCTTCCGCTGTATTTGTATCAACTCTGTATTATCGGGTCGGTTCTGAGAATCTGCGCCATACTTATGACTGTGTTTCACGAGTATGCAACATCTACTCATCACAGCATGTGTCATGAGAAAGCGGGCGAGTTTCCAGGGCTTAAATGTTATGCAGGCCCATAAATGCACAGACATACTGCTCAGATATTCATAGCCACAAGCCAGCGTTCATGGACACAGCCACTAGCCGTGCTTTCTCACTAGGTCACGTAGCTGTACCTCTACGGTGCCTTCCTGGTGGCTGTATGCTACCCCACCAGCAACTGTAGTCAGCTTCAAGTGCCAGTACAAACAAACTCCTTAGTGTCCACACCTAGCCCCTTTCTACCTACAGATGCACCTCCTTTTTCCAACCGCCCCCCACCCCCCCAAAAAAAAAAAATCCCCAATAGGCTAGAGCCATGTGCAAGGAAAATGAGCAATAACTAGATGACAATATTCAGAATGCACAATCACATTGAAAGCCAGATTGTATCACAGTGTTCAGAAAGCAGCATTGCACCAATATGACACCAATGGAGAATCGTAGCACTGAAAACCAATGTTAATGAGAGCTTACTCTCGCCACCACCAACATATGTATACAGTCCCTATCTCCCTACTTGGCGCTCGGCGCCCAGCCTACTCCCTACACAGCTACTACTAGCCTACTAATTGGCAATGCAACTGTTGACGTCAGCAGCCTCCGAAGTACTTCAAGATGTCGCCCATGCAGACCATCGCCAATACCAGGTATGTGCCCTCACATCATCATCATCATCCTTCTCTCTCCCTCTCCCTCATCTTACTCCCACGTCTTCCTTCTTGAAACCCGAAGACCACCCCTGCGCCTCACTGTACATCCAAGCCCGCCAGCTATGGAGGCTGGGCTATGGCGCTGCCTCAGCAGCGCCCTCCTCCTTGCACGACCGCACTTGCTTGCACTTCGCCTCTCAGCACTAGCAGCAGCCCACGAGCTTCAGCTCCAGCAGTGCTGCCACCAGCATGCGAGTGCCTGAATGAATGCCCAGGCAGCGGAACTCCTTCCTATATGGAAAGAGCCTGCCTCATTTGGCAGTCTGGCTGGACTGGCCTGGGCCCAGAAGCTTCCGGCAGGCCCCAGGACGCTGTGCCTCTCTTGCAGCTACTGGGCCTCCTTCGGTTGGGCATCCCAACTGTCTGTGTATGAGGCTGCCATTCTCGTCCAGGGCCTGCATCATTTTGGAAAGGCCTGGAAGGCCGTCGAAAGTCTTGCTGCTCGGCCTGTGTTTTCCTCAACCAACTGGCGCGACGAAACTGCCTGGACCCCAAATCCGATATTAAAGGCCGCAGGCCTTTCGTGATTTGTTAGGCCCGCCTTCACTTAGGGCGGGCACAGATGCAACAGGGGGCCCTTAGGCCTGCCGAGGACCCAGATCCTCGCACATGTCCCTTCACCATGGTTTTTAAATGTGAATATTCTTATGTGTAATGCAGTATTTGTTATTTATTATACATTATAGTATTTATAATATACATTACAGATTATGTATTCTATTGTTAGAATATACCATCATGTGTATATATTGTCACATGATATCAGAGCGCCTAAGCAAAAAAAACAAAAAAACAAAAAAATCTTAAATTCGTTTTTAATCTTCTTCCTTACAACTCCCTCTGTTCAGAACCTCTTGCTTACAAGGCCGCCCACGTGGATGTAGGTTGAGCGGCCACCCCCGTGTGTCATATCGACCCACTTGCACACAGCCAAAAGGCAAAGAGGCAAAGAAGAGAGGAAGGGAACAGCCAAATGAAACAAATAGAACAGAGGGAAACAAGACAGATCCCAGATGACAAGTCCCACATGCAAGCACCGCCCGCTCCGTCAAAGGCCAAACAACGGGACAAGACCACCCAGGACAAGACATAAAAAAGCGACGATCCACAGTGTGACAACCAAGAAAAAAAGAGAAGACAATCCCGGATGACGATTCCCACATACAGGCACCGCCCCGCCTCTCAAAGGGCCGAACAACGGGAAACAACCAACCAGGATGCCAAAAACCCGAATGGCTGGTCCCACATGAAAGCACAGCCACGCCTATATGATAGCCCGAACAACGGGATCAAACCAACCGAGGTACAGACAAAATCAGCAAAACAAAAAAAGGCTCCAATCCACAATGTGACAACCAAAAAGAAGGAGAAGACAATCCCGGATGGCGATTCCCACATACAGCACCGCCCCGCGCTCAAAGGGCCAAACAACGGGAAACAACCAAGCCAACCAGGATGTCAAAACACTTGCCTGCAAAACGATAACCCGATAACCAATCCCACATGAAGCACCGCCATCCCTCCTCCCTAAGATAGACCAAATAAGGGGACAGAATCAACCGGAATCGAAGCAGACAAGATTCTGATTCAAAAGAAACATTCTACCATAACCATAGTTAAAAAAACGGAACCATACAGTAGGTCCGCAAAACAAAATACCCCTAAACAAAGGGGAAAGACAATAGGAAAAGATATGGGACAATAGGACAAGGATTATTTTCTACCATAGCCAAAGAAGAGCCTGCTAGTACAGGCCCGACGCTAGCCGCATCATCTACAAAAGTAGAGTGCTAGCAACGTCGGCAGTATATATTGTCACATGATATCAGAGCGCCTAAGCAAAAAAACCAAAAAAACAAAAAAATCTTAAATTCGTTTTTAATCTTCTTCCTTACAACTCCCCCTGTTCAGAACCTCTTGCGTACAAGGCCGCCCACGTGGATGTAGGTTGAGCGGCGGCTGCCCCCACCCCCGTGTGTATATATATATTGTGACACTGTGAATCAGAGCGCAAAGGCAGAAAAAGACAAACAAAAAAGGAAAGAAGGAAGAAAGGAAAGCTCCGCCTATTTATCACCTCTTGCGAACAAGGCCAGCCACGTGGATGACAGGTTGAGCGATGGCTGCCCCCATCCCCGTGCGTCACAAGGACCCACTTGCACGCAGCCAAAAGGCAAAGAGGTAAAGAAAAGGAGGAGGAAACCAAACCTCACAGAGGCAAGAGAAAGAGAAAGGGATCCAGTCAAAGAAAGGACAAGGAAAGAGGAAAACAAATGACACATCCCACAGATAAACCAATTGCAACTGTCACAACAAAGTTCAACACATTTTTTCTTTTTTCCTTTTTACTTGTTTTTTTTTTCTTGTTTTCTTTTTTGTTTTCTTCAGCAATTTGTTCTTTTTCCCTTTTTTTCTTTTCGTTTTTTCAATTTTTTTCTTTCTTCTTTCTTCAACTCCGTATCTGTTGGTAGTGTCAAAAGCTTTCTTTGTCCTACAATTAGTGTTGCTCCTGACCTGCTTGATTCTATTGACCAGTCAGGAAGAGGAGCCCCCACCCCGGCAGATAGGACAGGCACGCTGAGGATGACGAGGATGTTCACAAGGATACCCAAGGAGAGCTGCGCCAGCACAGCATTCAGCAGGACGGCTAGCACGGACCATCCCATCAAAACAGTCCTGACAAAGGACATGCTGTCCACATGTCAAAAAAACAGCAGGACGTTCATCACAGTGCGGCATCATGCAGTCCTGATAGCGTCCTTGCGCATATGTTGGTATTTTTGTTCACACGGCAGTACCTCGTATAAAGAAAAGATAACCCTCTGCAGCCCATCTATTGAGGAAATCTGTACAGTCCAAAGACAACTGGGGATCTGGTCTTATTTTTTTCCCCATAAAGACTTTGGAAAAAAAACTTTTCCGGAAAACTCAAAGAAGTGTGCAAGAAAATCAATCCTCGACACATTGCAAGATATCTCACCCTCGAAAACGTAGAGAGGCATCTCAGAAGTTCAAAACTCTCTCTCTCTCTCTCTCTCTCTCTCTCTCTCTCTCTCTCTCTCTCTCTCTCTCTCTCTCTCTCTCTCTCTCTTGTGTGTGTGTGTGTTGTGTGTGTGTCTGTGCGTGTGTGTGTTGTGTGTGTGTTGTGTGTGTGTCTGTGCGTGTGTGTGTCTCTGTGTGTGCGCGCGTGTACCTGTGAGGTGGTGGTGGTGGCAGAGATGGATAGAAAAGAGCAGTAATCCAATGGTGTAGAAATTCATACATCGGCAAAATGAGTGCACTACTAAGAACCTTTCCTTGTCAAATTGGAAGACTGGCGAGTGGGAAAGGGATGCAGGTAGCCATTTCGCTGACAGATCTCGATGGCTGCGGCTGCAAAAGCCATGAGTATGATGCCCTCCCCTATGTCTAATCCACTTTTGAGGAGCTGCTGCCGAAACACCTCAGCTTGCATGGGCGACGACGACGATTGGAACAGCTGGACCGTACTATCAAGTTGTGCCAAGCCCCTCACCAGTCCAAATGCGGCAACGATGCCCGACTTCAGTTCGATGTTCCCGGCATCCCTCCTGACGGCATACCTATACGTTATCCCGAACAACGCACAAGAAATGGCCACGACGACCTCGGTGAATATGATGGCCGTCAGCGGAAGCTCTTCATTGACAGCCACCGGAAGACTAGCAATCAACCCAGCCACTGCCGCAACTGCAGCTGTTTTCCCCGATTCAATCCTTTCCCTGTTCTCGTCGATCTGCATAGATTCCCACTTGGGGGATCGCAAGCTGGTTCCAGCACGTGCCTCCACCAGACCACGCTCCGCAGCAGCAACTGCTGCCTCTGCTGCACGCACTTCCTGCTCGAGCTCCGCTACCCGCCGATCAGCATCGCCTATCTCCGCCTCAACTCGGGCGGAGAGAGCCTCCCCGTTCAGGAGGCGGGACGAATTCTCTGTCGACCCCTCTCTCTCCAGCCTCTCCACCTCTTCCATTGCCCGCTTGGCTTTTTCTACACGCTCCTGAGCTGCAGCCAGATCTCTCAGCAACGCCTGCGCCGACTCGTCCTTTAAGATTTTTTCAGTCAGATCATCGAAGTCCACCCCGCTCAGAGCTTTCTCCGTCTGGGTCATCCCCCCTTCCCTGGCATTGCGCTGGGCTGTGACCCGCTCCTGAGCTGCCGCCAAATCCCTCAGCAATGTCTGTGATGATGAGTCTGCCGACAAATTGTCCTTCGCATTCACTTCACGAACGAGTTCCTTGCTTGCCCATTCAACCTCCTCCTCCTCCTCCGCATCCTGTTCATTGAAATCTCCTTCTCTACCCACCCCCACGTCACTTGTCGTCCTCCTTCTCCTCCTCCTGTTGATGCTGATGCCGTCACAGATGGAACTCCGGAGAGCTCTCCCTTTCATGCTCTTCCCTCCTGAAATTGGCTTTCCGACAACCAGTGGACGACGCCCTGACACCGCCATTCCCTCTTGTCCTTTCTCTGCTACGAGTGCCAAGCCTCTTCGGCCGCACAAAGAACAGAGAGATCCGGAGGGAGAGACCGATACTGACATAAAGTGGACAGGCGAGGAAGAGGAGAGCGGATGGCACGTGTCCCCACCTTTAGCGGCAGCGAAGAAAGAGCATTTCTGCCGCCTGCTGACTGGCAAGGGGGGGCTTCCCTGGGCTCGTTGATACAAGCGTCGAGATCGAGAAGAAGGCATGCCCCATCCATGCGGAGAGCCACTGTGCTGCCCTTCTCCTGAGGAGGCAATGGGGAACTCTGCTCGGTCACAGAGATTGAGCCTCGCGGAAACACAGCAGCCAGCACGACACGCCATTCGCACCCGACAGGGAGACGTGCCTGTACGGCGCAGCACGCGGAAAGAGCGAGCGAGAAAGAGCGAGAAAGAGCGAGAAAGAGCGAGAAAAAGAGAGAGAGAGAGAGAGAATGCCTCCACTGTGTTGCCGTCTGTCAGGAACATGTAAGCACTGCATGGACAGACTCCGTTACCCAGAATATAGAGCAGAGGAAACACAATCAAGACAGCAAAGAGGCGGAAGCTTCAATAGTAGACCAAAAATGTCCGCGTTAGTCATAGGTACCAGAGAGTAGACACTTTCAGATCAGAGATCCCCTGCCCTTAAGTAAAGGAAAGACGAAAAACGACTGAAATATACTTTAATATAGACCAGAGCCGAGAACATGCCACTTGTGGACTTGTCTTCTTTCCGTGCACAGAACGTTTCTTCCAACTTTTCAAAACAGCCACTGCACTCTTTACCAGATCGCACACAGCAACATGGAGCATATGTGTGTGTGTGTGTGTGTGTGTGTGTGTGTGTGTGTGTGTGTGTGCGTGTGCAGTCTGTGTGCGTGTCTGTCTGTCTGTGTCTGTGTGTCTGTGTGTCTGTGTGTCTGTGTGTCTGTGTGTGTGTGTGTTTGCGTGCCTGTGTCTGTCTGTGTGTCTGTGTGTGTGTGTTCGCTATTGGGCAAGACAGTCTCCTCAGACTTTACCAACTGGCTATATGCACCGAGTGTTAGTGTGCGTGTGCGTGTGCGTGTGTGTGTTCGTGTGAGAGGCAGAGAGAGAGAGAGAGAGAGAAAGGACAGATTAGGATGACCGAGGAGGAACTACACCAGTCTCAAGTAACAGGTATCCCTTCCTTCACGGCTCTCTTCTGCGCAATCCTTGTTCCTTGAGAGTTACTTCTCCCCGTATGTTTTTGCGTTACTCTTTTGACCCATCATGTTGTCTGCAAGATCCCCTATTATGTGACCTTTTAAAACGGGAGTTCATTGTACTAGCTTACCTGTTGCGGCTCCGCCCGCCAAAAACATGGAACTTTTGCAAACAAAAGCAAAGAGCATGAGGGGTGTGGTAGCCTGAGTGCAGTTGGTTAGCAACTGCCCTGTTCTGTGCGGAATGCTTGCAAATCTGTTACCTTGTCAAAAATCTCTCCCTTCGCCAATAAGAAGTATCCTCTTTCAGATCTCGCAGAAAATACGCAATTCTTCCTATTTGAGCGTTTCTCTTTACACTTTGTTTCTCCATTTTTTGGTTTAACGATAAAAGCAAGCCACTCAAAAAAACGACCTCTCTCTCTCTCTCTCTCTCTCTCTCTCTCTCTCTCTCTCTCTCTCTCTCTCTCTCTCTCTCTCTCTCTCTCTCTCTCTCTCT